TTTTTCTGAGAAAACTTTTAAATTTATTGATCAAAAAATGTGTACACATATTATTTTATCTTTTAACTGTATTTTAAGACTTAGTACTAGTGAAAATATTTATTTGGAAAGGAACTACAGCTAATCTCCGGAAGCTCCTCTCAAAAAAGACAATTTGCGGTGACCACACCATCTCTGAATTTTTTTTTGACAAAATGGCGGTTTCTTAAAAAAAATCGATTTTGGACCAAAACTTCAGCCTTAAATTGTTTATTAAAAATTTTTTATCGATTAAAGTAAATCTTAGTTTAATTACAAAAAAAAAAAAAAACTTCTGAAGCTCGTGTTAAAATTCGAGACTAACCGCCTCAGCCATTTTCAGGTAATGTTGGTCACCAACATTCACCATTTTAAGATAAACGTGTTTAAAGTTTGGTCTTGTACTTCGAAGCGCTCTGAAACGTCTTTTCAAATTTTAATATATAAAATTTTCTGTGTGTATCCTTAAATATATGTGCATTAAGAAAATAAAATAAAAAAAATCGATTTTTTGAAAATTCTAACTGTGTATAACTAATCGCCAGGATGACCCCCGAAAAATGGTGTCTGGCGGTGTAGACAACTTTTCTTTAACATTCATGTAGTACAATTTGTACTTCGCTTGAAAATAGGTCTCAGTTTAGTCGATCACCTCTTCACTCGACGAATATTGCTTTCCAGCGTGCATTCTTTTGATATCTGAGACCAGATTGATTGATTTGTGACACAGAGCATTGTCTTGGTGAAACGACACTTTCTTCTTTTACAAATGGGGCCTCTCTTCGGTGATTTAAGACTATGGTCGCTGTTCGCTTCTTTTTCAAGGTAGTCAGTCAAGATTATTCCATGCGCATCTCAAAACACCGAAGTCATAACTTTGGAGCGAGTTCACCGTGTGGCGTCCACTCGGATCACTGTCAATTGGTCTTCGGAGTGAATGAATGGAGCCATATTTCATCCAATGCAAGACATCGACGCAAAAACTCGGGTTGATTACGCTTTAACATCTCCAAACACTGCTCCGAATCATCAACTTGACATTATTCTTGCTTGCGCTTCACTTTGCATAGAGCTTTCGCGTATCCAAATGTTTGTGAATGATATGATGTACACGTTCAATTAATTTAGAGTACTTGATATCTCGAACAACTTCACTTTTCGGCCATTCAAAATAATTTTGTGGACTTTTTTGATGTTTTCGTCAGTAGCAATCACATTTGGGCTTCACCGTCTTCGGTACTCATTTCACCACGTCTAAACTTAGCATATTATTATTTTCCTTGGGTAGTGTCCGGAAACTCATCTTCAAGACCAGTTTTTGTGTCAACTGTATTTTATCCCCTTCAAAAAGCAATATTTTTTCAACTCGCGAAATTCCTTTTTATCCATTTTTTGCACTAACAAAAGTTGCTTCACTCAAAATGACATAATTCATATTTCTATAGATTAGGGGTAACTAAAAATCATATGGTATTAGCACTAGTAGCGCCATTTATATTATAACATGCCAACTTTGTGATATATTTTTTATAATTTTTTTTTTTGCACGCTTTTTTTTATATCCAGTCTAAATCACTAGTTAGAGCCTAATTCATGAACTAATAGCATGAAAATACGCTGTGCTCGGTGTGTAGGCATCAGAATTATCATGTTGATTTGTTGACTAAATAATTAATCCGCTTTCCATTTTTTTGCGGGCTTCCGCAAAAAAGTACAACTGCGGGGACACCGAGTGTATTTATATATCATAAGTATATATATATATATAAATACACGGTATATATATACTATATATACTTCTAGTCAGCTGCTGTTACATTTGTATTTATTTTGCTGGTCACCTCCTCGCGAGCCTTATGCTTGTTTTACTTTTTTCTTCATTGCCTTGTCATTGCTGTTTTTGTTTTTCGTTTTTCTCTCTTGCTCTCTCTCATTTTCAGTGTGTATGTGTGTTTGCAGTGAAATTAATTCGTGAAAGAAAACAGAATAAAACTAATTTTCTGCTACTGATTTTGAATTAATCGAATGAATTCATTCTGTCTTTCGCAAGGCAGTGTGTGTGCAAGAGGGGAGGGAAGCAAGATCTTATGAGTGTGCAGTGGGTGCCGAGCAGCAAGATATTGAACTTGGCTAGGGGCATGTTTACGTAGCCCAACTGCTTGTTTTATTATTATCATTTTTGTTAAAATGTTTCCTTTTTTCGTTTTTCTCTTCTTCTGTTTATTGTTATTGTGTTGTGCTGAGTGAATATTTTTATTTTCTATAAATGTTTTCTTATCGGGTAAAACGATTACAGTTCTTTTAGGATTAATTTCTTTTTTTTAAATATTTTTTAAAGTTAATTTTTGTCTAAAAGTAAGCCGACTTGCAAAAAACTATTTGTGTTTCGAAAATTAAAAAGCTCTGTCTTTCTAGCTTTTGGTAGTGCTACTGCTTAAGTTACCATATGTCTTCTATATTTTTTTTTTTATAAATGGCAAGCAATTGAGTTTATGAGTAAAAAGTCATTTTAATACAAAAACCAACAGTTCCTTCCATTATTTAATGCCCTTCCTGTCCTAACCTATAATGTTTCCTTTAATTATTGCTCTGCCAAATTGCTTTGTCTAAAAGACTTTTCAGCAGCTTGTTTTGCGACATTATTTTAGAATTGGCTTTGTTATTTTGAGCTGCACTGTTATTAATTAATTTGCATTTGTTGCTCTTTCGGCAGTCCGTTAGTGCCGCCTTATGGGCTTTTCACCTGTGGCCGCATAAAATCGATAGAAAAAATCAAAAGTCAGCTAAGGAAAATAACAATTATGCCGAACATACTATCAGTGGCCCATAAGCTGCCGTAACGAGGCTGTAAATTTTTGGTAATTACTTTTCTGTGGCTTCTGTGCCGGCCACGTTAATGGCAAGAGAAACTGTGGTGTGGACATAACCTTCTTTTATGATTGGTACCTAAACACATACATAAATATTTGACACAATAGAATTGCGGCACCAAATGTCACAACATCACTTTTACCTCAATATTAAATTAAATTTGTAGGTATGTATTACACCGTTATGAATTTTCATTTTGGTGAAGTTTGCCTTTTTATCGCTTGTACAATAAATGGAAAGTTATGAATTTTCCCGAAAAAATATTTTAATTGTTTGTTAGGTCTTTGTTGTGACGTGAAGAGCATATTTTTAGATACTTTAGTTTTTGTTGTAATATTATTTACATAATTTCTCAAAGAAATCTGAAAACTTTATAGCCCATTATGTATATAATTTGCAAACATGTTTAACAATGCGTGTTAGTCTAAAATTGTGCTATGGTAAGATCGAACTACCAATAGTGGCCCGTAGTGGGTTCAAAATGTAGGCAAATGGCTCAAAATCACTCTCTCACATAACAGTAATCTGTTATAGCTTATTGTTACATGCACTACTGCTTTTTGAATTGAAATTTGTTTTTCAATATTCAAATTTATAGAGTGGTAAAATATTGTTTCATCAGCTTTTGAGATATCCCAATGAAATTTATCGTTGCATACATTCATAGAGATAACTAACATGCAACCAAGTCAACAATCACCGGAATGGAAGAAAAAAATGATCGAAAACCAAAACAATCACGTCAAAGCTGCTCAAAAATCAAGGCGATGCTCATTGTTTTTTCGATATTCGTGGTTTATGGCATCATGAATTTATTCTGCAGGAACAGACGGTCAATAAGGAGTTCTATTTGGCTGTATTGATGCCTTTGCGAACAACCGTCGAAAATGGCTGGAATTGTAGAAGAACAATGCACCATCGCATCGAGCATCGATTGCAACGGAACTTAATGCTAAAAACGCAATTAACACCAACGATCAACCACCGTGTTCACCAGATTTGACTCCATGTAACTTTTTCTCCGCTCCGTGGAACCTGTTTTCAGTCCATCGAAGAGATAAAACAACATTCGCTGAAAGAGCTGAAGGCTATTCGAAAAAGTGCGTACTGGAAAAATCGTTGACGTTGTATTACATCTGATGGGAACCAAATAAATATCGATAAATGATTAAATATTTTAGACTTTATTTAAAATTTTTGGGGCCTTTTTAGTCACAATGTATTACAAGTATATTATTGCTTGGATTCCGATCCTCTGGTTAACGTTTTGTACCCTAAGGTATTTCCCTACCTTTGATTCCTGCGAGTTGCTGGAGTATAAAGTGTTTGGTTGCACCCGAATGTAGCCCTTTCTTACTTGTTTATTTTATTTTTAATTATAATTTTATTTTTTAATTTTATTTATTTTTATTTGTAATTTTTTTTGAGGTGTACATATTTTTTAAATTCTTCCGTTTCGCATTTGATTATTATTATTATTATATATTTCTTACTACTTTTTGTTTTGTTACTTATATATTTCTTTATGTTATTTTCTATTATATTACTAATCTTTTACATCAATAATCTATTTAAGCCTCAATATTCATGCTTCATTGCTTCCCCTTGCTGTGGTGGCGCAACAGTTTGCTTGACAAACCACAAAATCTAGCTAATAAAGCACTCGTAATAGAACACGGAAATTAGAGAGCACTCGAAAGATTTTAAATATTTTTGCATTACACGTTAAATAATAAAATGAACTGCGTAATTGGCTCTTCAAGGTCTTAGGTAACCACAGAAAATGTCTCACTGGAATAGCTAAGACACATGCTAACTTAATATCTATATTAATACTTACATAGAGTACTTACCTAAATACATACCTAAATACTTATATATATATATAATTCTCTATACCAGAAATACATATATATATACATATATAGTAAATGCATAAATCGTATAACATTCACAGTAAATATACTTGTGTGAGATTATCTTCTTAAATTATATATGAAGCATTATTTATGTCACATTAATCGACGTATCAAGTTACTTAACTATTAATAGTCCATCTATACTGCTTACAAACGCTACAATTTTCTTTTGCTTTTCTTCCATCTTTCTAGTGTTGAGCAAGGGCCAAGGTGAGACTTGTCGCTATAGATTCCTGGGTAAATACGGCGGCTACTGTTGGATCGTGACACAAGCCACAATTGTTTATGATAAATTGAAACCACAAAGTGTTGTTTGCGTTAATTATGTCATAAGGTAAGTACACTGATTTCCATTTACCTCCAATTATCCATTGTATGTTTGCGTAAAAATTTCAAACGGGAACGAGTGTATTTTTAACGCGTGTGAAATTCTATGAAATGAAATTAACAGTGAAAGTTACAAAAAGTGATTTGATATTGGAAAATA